GTCACTAATCCACCGGGCGGGATTGAGCAGGCACACACCTACAGGGGGGAAGACGACTTGGGTCGCGACAAAGGGAGCACTCACACTCTTTCTTTACGAGCCGCACAACAAACAGGTAACACATCCCGGCGGAAGGACAAACAAACCAACCAAAAAAAAGAGCCCACATATGCAAATATTCCACCAGCTTAACACTTCTGCAATGTAATGAAAATGAGTCAAATTTGCATCTCGGTAAAGGACATGATGAAACTGGCAGGAAACAGGCGACAGATCAGCTCCCAGCCTCTGTGAGTGTTTGTGTGTGTTCCCTGTAAGAGCGCTGGCAGGTCTGTTCCAGCGGCGCTGCTCGTGGGATTGGTGTCAGTCTGTCACTCCATGATGAAACTGAGCCTCTCATGCTCTCACTGTTTGATCTCCAACTCTGCTCTCTCTCTCTCTTTCTCTCTCTCTCTCTCTCACACACACAAACATCTCTGCCACGCATATGAACGCGTTCCACATAAGCACACACGTGCATTTTGCAGTAACACCCCACACAAACCCCCCAGTGTCCTCCTGCTCACAGCTATTAACCCTTGACACATAAATCCAAGGGTATGTGGGTGCGTTATTAGCTGTGTGTGCAAGTGGGAGGGTGGATGGGGTTAATCTTTGTGTAGTGTGGATCTTTTCACACAAGATCACTCAATTTAAATAGAGCAAGAACACTTTGATGTCTCCGGCACTCTCCCTCCTTTCTTCGCTCTCCATCTCTCATCCCGCCCCTCTAATTTGCTTCGTGGTGCCCCCCTCTGTGGCCCAGCGATAAGGTGTAATGAGAAATGTTTTCAAAACGGCTCTCACCTTTCACGCTGTGTTAATTGAGTGTGTGCTTGATACGGCAGAGGAGGGGAGAGAAGCGCTATCGTTTCCTGACCGCTGAAGGTGCCTGCGGGATGGAAAAGGAGTTTTCCCCAAACAAGGGAAAGCGAAGCCAGAACACGCGCTTGCATCATCTGACAGCCCTCAAAGACTCAAAGTAATGAGAGGATGTACCATCTTCATTAGCTGTCATTTACAGAGCATTACAGCAACAGCACCTCGAGGCAGTTATCGGTCACGCAGTGAGAGAGGCGTCGGGGAACAGGGGGAAAGATGTGAGAACAGGGGCTCACTTTGGCCTGAATTCACTTAGGCACCTGCAGAAAGTTTTCGTGGGGGGTGGTCAGATGAGAACCACTTATCTCATTTGTAAAACAATTCTGTAATGAACCTGCAAAGACAAGGCCCTTGTCTAAGCTGCCTAAGGTCATTCATAGATCACTAATCAAACTGGCCACGTCCCGTACTTATGCAAGCTTTCTGGGGATGCAGAGCAGAACCAGAACCAGAAGACCTATGAGGTCTGGAAGGTTGATATAACAACAACAACAACAGATCTTTAATGCATTGTGGTGCTAAGACGTTCAGTGATTTAGAAACTAACAACAGTATTTTAAAGTCTATTCTCTGAGCTACAGGGAGCCAGTAGGACTTTAAAACTGCTGTTATGTGCTCTATCTTCCTTGGTTTAAGTGAGAACACGAGCAGCAGCTTTCTGGATCAGCTGCAGCTGTTTGATTTGTCAGTCAGACCTATGAAGACGCTGTTGCAGTAATCAATGCGGCTAAAGATAAACGCATGGACGAGTTTCTCTTGATCGCGCTGACACATTAGTCCTCTAATCCTGGAGATGTTCTTCAGGTGATAGAAGGCCGACTTTGTAAATGTCTTTATGTGGCTCTGAAGGTTCAGGTCAGAGTCCAGTCAGCTCTGAAACTCGCAGGTTTCAGGGCTGACTGCTAGGTTTTAGTTGTAATAACAGAAGCTGTGCATTGACTGCAGATTGTTCCTCTTTAGGTCCAAAGATAATAACTTCAGTTTTGTTTCTGTTCAGCTGGAGAAAGTTTTGGCACATCCACACATTTATCTGTTCACTGATTGGATGGGTTCTGAGTCACCTGGTGACATCGTAATATAGAGCTGTGCATCATCAGCGTAGTTATGGTAGCTAATCTTTTTTCCTGTTATAACCTGAGCTAGTGGGAGCATGAATTGAGTAAGACAGGTCCACTTCAATGAGAAGTTACCTATTGAAACAAAGAAATCCCTTTTCTTTATGTAAGACTTGAACCAGTTGAGTCCTGAACCGAAGAGTCCGACCCAACTCTTCGGTCCAACATCGTATGATTTAAAATTCGTACAATGTAAGTTTTTAGGATTACTTTTTTTAGTTTCTGTCTCATAGTTAAGGTGTGCCTAGAATAAAAATTAGTGCTGAAACTTAAGAAATTGGTAGTCTATCAAATACTTATTTTCCCCACTGCACATTCATGTATTGTGTATGTTTGTCATCTTCTAACAAAGTAAAACTTGAAAAAAATGCTAAGAGAAATTGCTAATTGGAGATTGTACCTCCAACTGTACCTGCAAATGGAGGTACAATTGTACGTTGTTGGAATCCTAAAACCTTTATATACGTTTCCTTATATAAAGTCTAAGATGTTAAAGCAATAAAGCAAACAGACAGATGATGGGTCAGGTTTAGGTTCCCACAACTGTCTCAGTGAACAGGTATCTCCATGACAGCGGATGAGCCGTGTGTGACAAGTGCTAAACAGATTACCTTGTCTGTAATAATCTCATCCACCTACATCCATGCTGGGCCTGTCCAACTAAAATGATGATGTGGGATGACAGAATCCACAGGGGGAAGCTCCATTTGTCGAGCTACGAGACCGTCTGGATTACCACTCCGGAGCCACAACATCATCATCACCCTAACAGGATAACACAGCATAATAAACTCCTTAAAATAATCAAACTTATTACAACCTAACCCTTGTTTAATACATCCGACTCAGCTTACTTGGTCTGGTATCCTCTAACAGTGGAGCCACAAAAGAGAATAGCTTCCTAAGACAAGAGAACACAGGAAAGCAGATTGCGGTGCATTAATATTGGCATTAATTGGATTTGGAAATTACGCAGCTAATTTCTTCCAGTGGCTCAGTGAAATATGTAGAAGCAAAAAAAAAAAAAAAAAAAAAGGACATGAAAGTCTTAAAGTTAATTAATCGTCTCCGGCCCCAGCTTAATTAAAGTTTCCCAGTGTATGGAGGTAATGGGGGAATAGATGAAACAATTGCAGAAACGCCCTCCCTTGCTACCTCTGTAACAGAATAGAGTCCGCTGAGGGTTCAGATTTTAGGGCCTTTGATTAACACACACACAAGACACACAACAGTCCCCAGAACAGAAACCTTCGAGTTTCCATTGCTCCCAGTGAGGGATTCAGAATAATTAGCTGGATCAAAACCGAAGAATCCATCCACTGAGACGTCAGCTGTTATACACAGTACCTCCACTAAACGCGCAACACGATACAATAAGCAGTCTGTAATGGCCGTCACATGGGTTGTGCACTTTAAGACAATGTAAACAGAAAAGAAAAACTACTGATAATAGCTTGGAAAAAAGGATTTAAATACTGTTATTGATGTCGCTCAATAAATACTACGTAAATCTTTCAAGAAATTTATATTTGATCTTTAATTGTCTTATTAAAAGAAATATGAAGTTGCTCAAACCCGAAGGCCACACAATAGTTTGGGTTTTTTGTACCAGAAACATTTGATTATTAGAATTGGCAAGTTGTGAATTCTGTTTTGACTGGTTGTATGACTTCTTTCATCCAAGGGGATCTACTGGGTCTTAAAAATTAGAGAATCAAAAAGGTTCAGGCTGGATTTAATCCACACTATTCAGACTCAGTAAGACATTAACAGAATATTTTTGTTTGATGTGACTTTAACATTTTTGACATATTTATTTACAAGACGATTAGTAGTGCCTGGGCATTTAATGTATTTTTTCTGCAACAAATGTTTTCTGACGATAAAAACGCAGATGAGTAATGAAGCATCATCTCCCATTACAGGGCCTCCCAAAAATGCATACTTAAAAAAGAAATTATACTTTGGGTGACTTTAGGTCAATCACATCACAAAGTGCGCAAAACTGATCAGCTTAAACACTGACTGATGTTTAAGCTGACCAGTCGTTACTGATGAACAACTTTAGACCACTTCCTACATGATTTCTGAAGCATTTGGGTTGCATTTGGGTTTCTTGTTGGAAAATGTTTTTGAAATTGACTTTTCTGAAATATGACTCAAGCTTTACAAGTTAAAGACATTTGAAGGTGGAATTTGATTATAAACAAAAAAAAAGCTGAAATAGTAAGAAAAATATAAAAACTGATCATGAAATTTATTTCTATTGATTGCTACTGCATATAAAAATTGTTTTGTTGATTTTTTTATTTATTTATTTTTTTTTACAAAAATGCTTGGCAAGCAGGTTTATAATTCTTCTTCTTCAGGTTTTGACCAAAGTCCCTTCCTTATAAAAATTAAAACGATTTCTGTCTTTTTATGTTCTAGTAGAAAGCAATGTCTCGGGGGAAATGTGATGCTTGCTCCAGATCTTAGCAGTAAATCCAATCCACACAGCAGCTTCACGTAGTTAAAAAAAATTAAATTTAAGATAGTTTCTCCTACACATAGCTTGAGATGGCTCTAAAATACTTTAAATGCATCACTGAGATACCATGACGCACTCCTCTCTGAAAGAAAAGACTCCTCCTCAGGCTTCAAAAAGTCACGTAGTTTCTCAACAAACTTCTGAAAGAAACGACTCGCAGCGAGTCTTTTACTTCTTGGATTCTTTGCCGTCTCTTCAATAGCTTTTTGAGAATCGGGCGTTCTGTAATTTTCAGCTTCTTATCATATTTCCATGCCGATGTACCGTATTTGACTGCCAAAACTGCTCATTAAAGCAGATGAGTGTGTTAAAGTGGTGATGCAATCCAAAGCAACCCTCGCAGACGAGCATGCCTAAGCCTCAGCGCTGGGAGAGGGCGCCCTCTGCTGGAAACACGTTTACCTCATGAAGTGAAAAATAATAAGAAAGAAACAGTTTTCTTTTTAATCTGGTTTATTGACATGTGTATAGCGATTGTCTGTGCACCGGACAGTTACAGAAGGACATGATATAAAATAATACAAAATAGCTGTACATAAGTTATAGTCAAAGGAATGCATTGTTATTTGTGAGGTTTTTCGCTGTATTAGACACGTCAGCTACTCACTCACCTACATTAAGGAGAGCTTATAAGTTGAGGAGTTTGAGGTTTCGCCATCTGGAATAAGGGTCAATGAACACACATGTATTAAAAAAAAAAAAAACCACATTTGTGAAGAGCTTATGATATCACTGGTGGTACTGAGTAAATTAATGCTGTGCTAAAATACTGTGAGAGGTTTGCTCAATAACTAAGGCCTAAACGAAATAAAGAAAACAACACACGAACACCTACAAATCAATGAAGACTAAACGTAAGCAAATATTACAGAAGAGATAAAGGAGCAAAAATAAAAAAAGAAGCAAAATGAGGGTGCTGCAACAGTTCATCCATCCACATGCCAATTACAGGCAGAGATCTCGAGCACAATTCACTGAGGTTGACACGATTCATAACCGCCAGCTGATACTTGCCTGTTGGAGTCGGTTTTTCTCCTTTTTTTTTTAAACAACAGCACCCGTTCACACCTATTGACACGCTTATTGAAGTAGATGCGTAGAGAGCCTGAAAATAAACCCACCAAAGTTCTGACTTTTGGACAGCTTCAAAAAGAATGAAACCATTCATTTTACAAAAAAATATACATATAAGTATTTATTTTTTTTGGTGACACATTTATTAAATTTCTAAGGATTCCTGTAAACTGAAGCAGTTTTGTCATTTAGACTTTATAAGTTGATCAGGAACATTTTAATTAGTAATTTATGATTCTCTGGGGTATAAACTGGCTGCGACACAGAGGCACGTTTCTGTAAGCCGCTCTTCAAAACAGGGAAAAACCAACCAACCACACAATTTAAGGATTTACACGCGGTTTTACCAGAGATGCCAACAACTAAATATGGTGCTGCTGAAAGGCTCGTCTTTGGCGATCACGACCAGTGTGGTGTATGCATATGGAAGGAGTTTTTATCAATATAATATGAATTTCAGCTGGCACTGCAGCACAAAATCAACTTGGATCAGGGGTGTCCAAACTTTATGCCGCACAGGCTAAAATGTTCAAGTTGAAAGGACTCACAGGCCATTTTTAATTTCTACCTGCTTATATATTTAAACATGCAATATTTTAATGAAATAATCCAAGTGGTTGATTTTTGTAAATCTTTAACCAGAAATGTAAAGAAAAAAGAAGGTAACATTTTTGGATCAGTTGTTTTCTATTTTCTTTTAAGTGTGTTGACAAGCGTGGTATGGATCAGAGGCTGCATAAAGTAATTTCAAAGCTTGATGCCTTGTTTGATTTATGCATCATGAGCTGGACACCACTGGTCATCAAGCCTTCTTTACCTCAAACAGAAGAATATTTTCACAAGCTTTCTGCTCTCTCCATGTTTCTCTGGGGTTGCCCTGCCAGCTGTGACTCTGAGATTGCTAATCCTGAGCTACTGTTATTGTCACCACATCACTTCTCCAGCACACAATAAATCCGGCATTCAGGCTTCAAATGGGTAAAAAATTTTTTTATCAAAAAACAAAACAAAAAAACCCCATCACATTCGAAAAACTGTACGTTTTGAAGTATTTCAGGACGCGTTTTTTTAATGGCTGGATGTAAACATGTGCCAAGTCAGTCGACATCCTGCAGAAGAATTATTGGAAAATGTTAGCATAGCAGTACAAGAGGTGTCATTTATGAAGTTATATCAAGTATTACGTTTTTCTTTTTTTTTTTTTTAGGGATGCACGATATATCGGCACTAACATCGATACTTGCTGATATTAGTAATTTTATAACATATTGGTGCAATAAATAAAACTGGGAGGATTTTTTTCCCCCCATCTTGTTACGTTTGTTTTGGTAAGAGGAGAGGAGAAAGTTGGTTATGTGACATTCATAGTGATGCAGTGCAGGATTGTGGGTATTTTAACTGAAAGGGTGGTCATTTTGTTTACGGTGTCAACAGGGCAATGAAATAATAAATAACATCTGTAAATATTGGTTACAGCGATATTAATATCGGATATCGTTACTGGCCCAAATTTTCATATCCGTGCATCCCTGTTTTTTTTAAGACTCGTTTTCTTTATTTTCCCCTCGAAACAACAGCACAAAACTTTGAGAAAAAAAAAAAAAGCAGTTTAACTCAAGGACTCGGAAGACAACCTTAATTGTGACATACTCGCTCAGCGTGAGTGACGAATTCGCAAACCACCGTGCAAAGTTTCTGAATAAGTGCCCATGTAGCGTAAATACTGTCCAGCGCATGCGAGCTGGACGCGGCTTCCCATGTGAGCGTGTATAACTGACTTCTTCGTGTCTTCCACACTTGTGGCTATGTATTGGAGCCACCACACCTTTTCAAGCTAGTTCACCAAGCTACACCATAATATTCAGTTACAAAAATAGTATCACAATATAGAGCATTCAGTATGAGCACCAGCGAAGGCTAAACATAGCCCGAGTATTTGGCTACATTCATTGTCTGGGCAATGTTTCATGGTAGCAGTGTGGAAGTGGACACAGTGTTGGTAATGTCTTCTCATTCCCGGGCTCTCCTAATCTACCGCACAGTTACAGCTGGGCACAACTTGCTCACACCATAGAGGAATAATTAACTAGACCCACTGCGAATAGAAAAATAGTTATTAGATTTTTTTTTGTGTTTGTTTTGAACATTGAACATCTAAAAGAATTCCTCCCGCTTCCCCCAAAATAAAGCCCTCCCCCTTTTCTTAACAAAATAGTTTGTTTTTTTTCCCCTTTGAAACAAAAGTTCTTTTCTTTTTGAGGTCATACAAGAACAAATCATCCGTCACACCAACACGGACCCTGTTAGAAGAAGTTCAGCGACCCGAGGTGCGTTCAGAACCGAAGCAGTTCAGAATCCGTTGACTTCCTTTAAGATGGCGAGGACTCGTCGCAGAATCTGGTGAACTGAACGCACCTCTGGTTGACCTCTGAACCTGGAAAACCCTTCCCTCCCCCCTTCGAGCTTCCAGGTACAGCCGAACGAACGCCTGGCTCGACGAAGAAAAAGCACGTAGCTTATCTATGCAAGTGCTATTATTGCTTTGGAGAGTTGTGAAGTGAGGTGAACCCAGTTTTAATTCCCTGCCTTTGTTTATCCTCATTCTGCTTCATAATTGAGGTTACGGTACAGCTTCTCGCAAATGTATTAATACACTTTCAACTTTTTCACAACTGGTTACAACCGTGAGCTTCATTGCACTTCGTTGGGATTTTACACAAAGTAGTTTTTTTCCAAACTTCTTTAAAAAAATAAAAAAATAAATAAGTGGTATGAATTTGTATTTAACCCCTCTGTGTGTGAATACTATGTAGAACCATTTGCTCCACTTAAAGCTGCAGCCCTTCTACACTTACATTTTCCACATTCAACTTCCTAAAACTGGAAGGTTTTCTGATCATATATTTTTAAGTAATGCCAAAGATTGAGGCCTAATTTGACATTCAGACACATGCATATTCTCTGATCTAAACCATTCCAATGGCTCTCTCACTGCGTGTTGAAGGTAGTTGCCCTACTGCGCCTGATATTTTTTACGCCACAATTGACCTGCTTTTAGCTCCAACCATCTTCCATCAACTCTGACATGAACGCAAACCAACCTTTCTTCTCAACATTCTTCCACAAAGGCCAGATTTGTGGTGTACACAAATATGCAGTCGACACACTCTCTCATCTAAACTCTTCTTATCGATTAGGTGACTTCTGGAGGCACTTGGTGGGACTGGACTTTAGATATGGGGTTACTGGAGTAACTACAAAAGCACACCACACTTTTCAGATTCTGGTTTGCAAAAAATAAATTAATTAACCAGAACCATTCATATTTTTTCTTCCACTCCCCAATTATTCTTTACTTTGTGCTGGTCTGTCCCATAAAATCCTTTTTTTTTTTTTTTTTTTTTTTTATTTTGTTTAAATAAAAATTTGAAAAAGTTTAACGTGTGTGAATACTTTTGAAAGGCGCCGAACGTAATGCTCACTCTGCCGCTTAAGAGGTCACCAAGGGGTTTCGTTTACAGGAGTATCTGTGCATAGATTTAACACTAAAAGTATTGGTGAAGACAAAGGAGAACAACGTGCACAATTAAATGGATCAGTTGGAACGTTCATGTTTCAGTGTAGTTAAGGGGGTAAAGCCTTCCTGTTTCAGGCGCTGACATGAAAAACTGGGGAAGATGACGAAAGTAACTGAAGGCAGTAGAAGTGACAGTCACAGTGAAGCTGAGACCATTTCTATTAAAAGGATCTTCAGAATGTGGCGACTTATGCTAGTGGACTGAATGAACGCAGCTGCAATTAATGCTGGAAAAGAGACAGTCAAGGCCATTCGTTTTGCATGTGCAAAAAAGCTACTTAAGATTTCACACTGAAGAGAATTGAAAAGGATGTTTGAACCTGATAGTGTGTAGTTACAGTACAACGGGGCTGAGTCATCTTATAGTGAGGAACTTTTAAAAGGTCAAGCAGCATCACCAGAGATTCTCTTTACGTTCTACGTAACGAAAATTAGCTCACTCTGTTTTTGTTAGATTAGACGAATCACTATCTACCTGTTAGCACTGATTAGTCTGTCAGGTCCTCCCGATCTTGAAGCTCTGAAGGATAAACAAGGGGACGGATTGAGCTGCATTCTGTAACACAACGTTGGAGAGCGCGGTCGAACACTCAGAACGCACGTGCTGCCGTGACAGCCGTGCTCGACACTGAAGTGATTCATCGCTCATTGACGTTTGCCATGAGAACGAGGCTCAAGTAGCTTCCTGCGGTTGGGATGGTGGTTACTGAGGGCGCGGCTAGTCGATGGGGCCCTGGAAGATGAGCCGTATCCAGCCGGGGGTACCGAGGGCGGCGGAGCAGAAGGGGCAGACGGGCCTGAATGCGTGTGTCCCGTGGGGCAGAGGGGTCTCGGCCCAGTATTTGGCTGTCCTCTCCGAGCAGACGTGGCCGCACGGTACGAAGGCGTGAGTGGGCGCTCCGGCATCCACGTACACAGCAGGCTCAGAGCCTAGCCACAGCGGCACGTAGGGGCCCACGCTTCTGCACAAGGGGCATTCTCGGCGCTTGGTGGAGCCCTCACCCTCCCCGGGGTCCTCCACCCTCTGAGACCTCTGGCCCCAGTCGTGGCGTCCGTGGACGTGGCCGCAGGTGAGGTAGACCCAGGGCTGACGCTCTTCAAGGCTGCGGCAACAAATCAACTCGACTAACGTCACGCAATTCCTTGTATGTTTGTGACATTGCAGTACTGGCAAGTGTTAATCAGGGTCTCTGCAGGTTTCATCAACTCAAATTTAAGGCTTTTAAAGACCTTATAACACTATTATGAGTGAAAATTAAGACCTGTATCGCTATAAATGTACTAAATACATATATATAATATATATCATTTTGCAAAAATTTCCTTGCACCCATGATAAACGCATCAAGCTACCTGTAGCGGCAACCGCCTCGATCCACCCAACTCACTGAATATGTCTGGGTGCGACTCAAACTTTTGCCAAATATTAAAATCACGTGAGAAAAGAAAAAAAACAACTACATAACATATGCGAGATTAAATAGTCTTACCACGACAAAATTTAAGACCTGTATCATGGTAAAAGTACAATATGCATATATATTTATATTTATTTTGTAAAAACTTACTTTTGCCCATGATAAATGCAAAAAGTAAGCTAGCTAACAAAGGTGTATTAGCTCCTAGTTACCTGCGGCCTCTGTCACCTCAAGTCACTCAAACTTTTGCCTGACAGAAAAAGTCAGGCAAGAAAAAAACACAAACTACATAGTGTTTGTGAGATTAAATAGTGCTGCCACAACAAAAATTTAAGACCTGTGATTAATATATTTAAGGCCAAATGGGAAAAAATAAATGAATTTAAGACATTTTAAAACCTTGATTTCAGATACGTACATTTAAGACTTTTTAAGGATGTGCGGACACCCTGTTAATAATTTATACTGTCGCCTTTTGCAAACAGAAAATCCAATAATAAACTCCTGATAAAAGTTCTTAACACTAAATCAAGTGACAGTAGTCTCACCTGTGGCTGCGTGGTAAGCTTGGGAAGGCCAGCGTGCTGAGGCCCACAGGACACTGCGGTCGGGACGCGTTCAGTTCTTGACG